GACTGATGATACTTCCGAGTGTGACGCCCTTTTTGCCACGTCGTAGACATTAGAATTGTAGTGATAAAAACTGATAATGGCCTTTCAACGGGCTGGTCACAAACGTTAATACATTTGCATTATAATGTAGTGCTAAATCATTACCAATAATACTGTTATATTGACAATCTTAAAAAAGTTTGATATTTAAATGAAAAAAGGCAACCCACAAAACATATTTGTTGTGTGTTTTTAGCTCACTATTGTGAGTTTGTTTATGAATCAGCAGATTAGTGCACAGCCAACATGTTCCTTCAAATACAAATAGATTAACATTAGGCTACTTGTTGTTATTTAGGGAAGTTTGATGTACTTTCTGAGATAAATCTGGGCTTTTCATCTGGGATGTGTGTGCAGCACATCTTGACACTTTGAGGGCAGTTGTATCGTTGATAGCTGGAATGGAAACATCAAATCTTGTCAAACATCTCTCCTCCCCCTCTCCAGGGTTCCTGTAAAACATGTGATTTCTGCAAGAGCGTGTGTGTTGGTGTGCCTGTATGTGTATGTTTCTGTGTGTGTGCATGCAATTGAAAGTGGGACACTATGATGATAAGTTACCAGCCGAGGCCTTAGTGCTACTGCTGTGCGGGGACACATGGCAGCACATGAGGAAGCAGCTTGACTGTAGAGCACAGGCTGCCAACAGCAACCACATCACAAATCTTGAAACACAGTATTCAGTGTGAATGATTCAAAACCAAAATTACTACAATCTACTAGCACCATTTATGAGAGATTATTCCTATTACAGAAAGAAAAAAACAAAACAAATTTGCATTCTCCCTATGATCTTGCACACAGGAATACATCTAAAACGTTTTTTTTTAACTTACCTTTTCTCTGACTCAACTTGCATGTCTGTGTCCAGAGTGCTGTGCACCTGGCAATAACTCGGCGCCATGGAGAGCTCATCTTCCTCTCCAGACTGCCCGCTCTTCTCAATCCAGCAATTGCTACAACATGCAATTTCAGCATATCCCTCATTCAGGAGGCGGGAGCAGAAAGCCTGAATGCCAAGACCATTTCTATATGTAATGTATGCTTTTACAGTGATTACTGCACCTGCTTTCTTTCTTGCAGTTTGTGCTAACAATATGAATAAGTGAGCTTCTTCAAAGCTAACGCTAATTGGAGGTATCGTAAGGAACACATTGTGTCTTTTTGTTCCATGCAGAAAGAGCGGAGTGTATCACATATGCACATGCAGGCTCTTGTATGTTAATATGTTCTAGGAAATGGGATTTGTCATTTCTCTGTTCTTTTGCTTTTTCAAAATATATGCATGCCTAAATCTTATGTACTGTAAAATAAATCCCAAAGTATAGCACTCAGGGATGAAAAAACAAAAGTGTTTGTGCTGCACTTTGGACGCATTTGACATGAAAATATGAACTTCATGGTCCTAAACTATTTTTCCCACAAAGTTAACTAAGATTGTATAAAAAACACTGAGTAAACAGTCCTGTTGGAAAATGGGCTGCTGCCTTAGAGACTGCTTGGAACATTTATGATAATCTACGATAATCTACTTAACACAGCAACACATTATCCATTTGAATGCTAAGTAAACCTCATTCAGAACTTTAAAAAAATGCAAACATATTCTGAGATCTGAGAATAGCTCCAGTGGAACATGTTATCCTCTGTCAGGCCCAACAGACGCTGTATAAGACCCACGTGCTTTATGTGGCGGAATGAGTGGATGAAAAGCAACTTTAAATGCCCCTCTACCTCATTCATCTGGGAGTGGAGCTTGCGTGTGAAATGGGCCAATACCGCAAATCTTAAAGCTGTATGCCCCCTCTGTTTTAAGTGTCTAGGGATCAGCAGGGTGGCCCGGATTGAAGAGAAACAGGCAATCTTCCAGTTCAGAGGTCTTTGGTTTTGTATCATGGCTGCAACGATAACCTCCAATGGTAATTTAATGCCCCCATTCAAGTAATGCACTTTATTGCACCAGTGGATTAAGTAATGATTATTTTGTGAAATTGCGGCCACACAATGGTCAATTAATCTTTAATGAAACTGTAACTTATGAGGCGGAGCGTGGCATTGCAATAAGCGGGCAACTGCTTGCCAAGGCTGTTACAAGCCTCAGTTGTGGACTACACTCCCCATCTATCACCATGTAAAAATAGAGCACTCTAGAAAGAGACATAATGAAAAGGCAAAGTCACAGTTGCAGGCTCCATTTTTAGCATTCATGGAAGGTTTTAGGGGCTATATCCTCCAACGTACGTGAAGGAAATATGTCAGCCTTTGATGTATGCAGAGAGATTATCCATTTGCCATTTTCAGGTGCTATTTATTTAGAGCAAGCCAGGCATAGGGGTTGCAGGGAATTATGTGCACTGACAGAGCATGAAGTTGGAGGTTATGAAATGGCTGCACTGGAATTCCAATACCCAGCTATTTATTTCATCAGCAGCTCTTTAATGATGGAAAGTGTAACTCCCTGCTCCAATGTGTTGTTTTTTTACTCAACAAACACCTGCATAAGAGCCGTATAAACTGTAGCTTTATAGCCCAATCATTTTCAAAGTGTTCACATGGCACTGCACTACCAGAGCAAAGCCGGGATAGTCACAAAGATAAATGTTTTTTTACTCTGATTAGTTTCTCATTTCATTTTGGGCCCGAGGGCTCCAATTCTCTTACTCATTCCCCACTGCACTAACAAATGTGGATGGATTTGTTTTATTGCATGACATCATTTCTACACTGGCGTGAGAGAACAAGACATTGAATTTCCAATACTTGAGTGCATGCTCGGTGGGAAAGTGTTGAGGAGAGCAAAAGAGGTGAAGAAACAGGAATGATGAGAGTGATTGATGGAGTGAATGTGAGCCAAAGGATGAAGAGGGACGAGTCAAGGGGCATGCGCATGAGTGTGGTGGGAGTAGGAGTGAGTGTAATGAAGTACGACGGAAGAGATGTGTACAGAGTACGAGGTAAAGAGTGAGAGGTTTGGTAAGAGAATAGACAGAAACATTGAGAAGAAAAGAGAGTGGAAAACAATAGATTGCAAGACTGATAGTGCCGAGCTGAATGTCAGCATCCCCAACCGATCCCTCTGCAACCTCCCGGTACCAACACGGTGATGTCATAGGAAGAAAATGTGTGTCGGTGTGTGTCTGCTTGTGTGCTGATAGTAGGGTTGGGGGAATGGTTAGACGGCAGAGGGAAGGAGGGAGGGCTGAGGCACTCGGTGTTATTGTGCACCCGGCCGCTGGCACCAGCACTGTCAGTAAGCAGCGTTGATCCGTGAACTTGCCATCTGGATTCTCCCACAAATCACATTAAAGTTTCAAGCCCAGGAATACATCAAGCTAAATGAATATTGGATCCAGGGGCCGCAGACAGGCCTGATGGAGAAAAAGCCCTGTGCAACCCAACTCTTTTGTGGTCAGACATGATCCATCCATCCCCTTTACCCCCTCCCTCCTGCTGTTCCCTTCATCACTGATGGGCAACGCTTCTAAAGAGGGAGAGAGGAGAAGGGAATCTACTCATAACTAAAAAGGGAACACAAGAAGACGGTTGATTATAAAGAGTAGGGTTATTGTGCTGCATTTAAAGACAAGTAAAACATGGCTTGTAGCTTGATATGACTGGAATAGTTAGTTATAATTAATTCCTGATAGAATTGTATAAACATTGCTCGATATTGGCCAAAACCACTTTATTTTTCTTTAAAGACTGTCACTGTTCATGCAGGATGAAGTTGTCCTATGTTGCAAAGCCAACAATCTTGGCACATATTAGGACATTAATGCTTCTTAATCACCCACTGTTTTCTGTTAAAGTGCATGTTGTGGGTGTAAAGAAGGAGCACACTTTGGCACTTGAATAATACTAGATACCATTAAATTCTATGACAATGCCATGGAAATTATTATTGTGTACAGTATTAAATTATAGGCTTACTCTTTCTTTTCTTTCAGCTTCATTATGTTGATTTTGCATAAATGGATTCCTATTTTCACCGAAAGTCAAAATAATACCTGAGCAGAAAAAATAATGGAATCATTCATCATTCAATAACGATGTTATGTTCTGGTTCCTGGCTGCATATTTCCTGCTGAAACACTGTTTGTGCTCAAGTAAAACCTATTAAGAAAATATTGTCTCACAAAGATTCTGTTTCATACAGGAGAAAATAAACCTATTTAGTTATTTTCCAATTCAGTGGCTTGTATAGCTAGGGATTTATTTTCAACGGGCCTGGACTGAAGAAAAAGGCTTTACTGTTTTTTCAGGGTTCACGTCTATGAGATCCCCAGGGTGAGATACGGATTGGCTTGTAGTATGAAAATTATAAATACCTTGTCAGCGGCGAGAGGAAAGAGGTATTTTCAGCTTCAGCCCCAAATTGGCCTCTTGACTACAAATTCCAATATCGCTATTAGCAAATAATTAGCAGGATGCTGCAACATTTGGTATGTAAACCACAGGCAAATACAAATGGAAACATGTATTGTACAAAGCAAGGAGTATAATAAAAATGCTCACAAAGGGTATTAAACAATCTGTGCTAAGGAAACCAACACAGCAGAAGAGAGCAGGCATCAATCACTGTTATACATTGTCACATCATGAGTGACCCACCACTGAAAAGACAGCTCAAGTTGAACATAGTCGAGCTTTGAAGCACACCATTCAGAAAAATAAACGAGTGTTTATAACACAAAGCAATCCTGGAAGGTCCGTCAGCCCTTTCACCGCCGCTTTTTAATATTGTGTTAACCTTTTCACACATTTGCATTGATGCAAAGACAAAATGGGTATCATTCGTTGACAATAATCCTGCCTCAAATATTTTCATTTCACTGTATACTTGAAAAGAAAGCAAGATTGTAGGCTTTTTCTTATTCTTTATGTCATATTCAACAATAGATCATTTATGAAACACATTCTGTTGCACTAAAACTTCCCATTTGTCTCTGTTTTTCTGTCAGGTCTTCAAGTCATTTTCCCAGAATACCTGCAGGAGAAGTTTGTCCAGTCAGCCCTGAGCTACATCATGTGCAATGGAGAAGGAGAGTATGTGTGCAGTAACAACCATTGCATCTGTCAGTGCGCCGACGACTATCCCCAGTGCAACTGTCCCATCACTGACATCCAGATCATGGAGAATAGCCTGCTGGGGATGTCTGAGTCCTGGGCCTCTTCTTACAAAGACTTTGAGAACTCTGGTAAGTTTACAATTCTTCCAACTTATATTTACCTTGACAGCTTAGGAGAAGTGTGTAGCTGTTTTACTATTTTTCAAGGGAATAATTCCTGAGAAATGCAGCTATCCTATTCTGTGTATGGGTACATGTGCAGAGCTCAGGTAATTAAGGTGATATCATAACCTTGCAATTTCCTCTTTGCTTGAAGATCATTTAAAATCCCATTTTATAATTCTGCAGCTTAGTCTGCCCTTGCTCAATACCACATTTACATAATTAATAGAAAATTAAGTTTCCTGTATTCACTGCAGAAAGTACTGAGCAAATGCAGACCCAAAGTGTCTAAGATATTGGACACGGTGGTAAAAGAAATAAAAGCACAGCTATTGCCCAGCTGCTACATGGCGAGTCACCTTGTTTATCTATTATTGATATGATATAAAAGTGTCCCAATAAAACCTGCCAGCAGCAGATAAATATATTGATATACCATAGAAAGTTCATGTGAGTCACTGAGTGCAGTGAGTCTGGAAAGGGTGTAACACGAAGAGGCCAAAAATAAAGGTTTATATTAAGGCTTATCAATTAAAATGCAAGGAAATGAATAACTTTCTTAGTGTCTGTGTCATTTATCCAAATGCTATTAGATTAATAAAATGAAATATATATATTTTGGACCCTTCATATTGAGATGTAATGGCACAAGAGGTATGAAGTGGGGTTACACTCTGAGAGCTGTAATCTCTAGATAAGGTGCTTGGTGACTTGAGATAAGAGTCATGCGAGGGACTATGTGGACTCTTTGGAAGCTGTATCAAGGAAGAGATCCTTGGTGGCTTTGAAGCCTGTATGAAAGCACTTGGCATCTGTTGAACTGGCATGATGTAATAATGGATTCTTTTGGTGAGGGAATCAAACATTTTTGAATACTGGATGCTGGGGACAAACATCTTTTTCGAGGAAAATGGCGAGGGAGGTGACCTGACATTTCTGAAAAGTGGGTGGAGGAATACGGCAAGTTTGAAACATGGGAGGAGAAGGAATCTGGCTTCTTTGAAGAAAAGGGGAAAAGGAGCTCTGACATGCCTGGGAGGAGAGAGGAGGAAGTTCTGACATTTCTTAGCTGTGTCTGAAAGAGAGTCTCAACTCCGTGGTTAATGCTGTTAGACTAAGACGTCAGTAGGAAAGCACTGGCTTACCGCAAAAGTCTATTTTGCAGGTATTGAATATGGGGATATTTTCTTTTAAGAGTTTCGTCTAATGCTGTGTATTAATTTTTCTCCCCAAACAAATGTGGTTGGAACAGGGGTTTTATACATAGATTTGGATTAGATTGTCAGTAACCTGAGTAGAGGCATTTTTGTGTTAGGCTACTTCTGCATTCTCTTCAACATGCTGGAATTGATAAACTGTTCATTGGATTATTTATAATGATGTGCTTGAATTTATCTTCGGAGACAATAATGAGCTATACTCTGAGTCATATTTCCTTAATTAGCACACCAAATAAAAGATTCCTTCTACTTAATTTGCTGCTGGAGTCTACAAGCATCCTCATGCCCATTGTAAGTAAAAATTGGAACCAGAGTTGAAAACAAGGGTCAGAGAGCTGGGCTCATGGGTTGTCTGGCGAGGAGACAAGCCGTGAGTTATCAGAAGCAGCAGGAAGAACATAAGGGCAATAAGCGACACTGGTGGGAACATATTTGTTGAAGCAAGGCTCTTCAGTAAGTGTGTGGGAGCACAGTCAGAGCGTGTTTACTGCACTGAGAGTTTCAATTCACTGCAAATACTCACAACAGAAGCAATCCGAAAAAATAAACCAAAGACATCAACCATACAACAAGAAGATTGGTCGAGTTTATGTGTGCTCACAAAAATGGGATTGACTCTTTTTGGTGATTCTTTAAATTGTCCCTACTTGAAAAAGACCCTACTGGATATTTTTTGCAGTGTTCCAAAAAATAAACTTTGGACATATTGGTTAACAAATTGTTCTAATGCCTAAAGTTTTAAATCATAAACCTTTTATATTCAAAACATGTATGCAAATACATGGTTAACTTCTGTCAACTCTACCAATTACATGCAGTAGCTGATTGTTGTTGCTTTGTTTGTAACTCTACCCAGGATGCTTAGCGGGAATAGGGTTGAACAAATAAGTATTCTGTAAAGCAAACGCACTCTCCAATATTGTTGACACTTAATCATGTGGATGAAAACACAATGGTTGGTTCACAGATGAGACTGTTTGTGTACATTTTTCAGTTTATTTTGCTATTTCAACAAAGCTGCATTAAAGTCTTGCCATGGAAACGTCAGTGTAATTAAAAAAAATACATTGAAAAGTTTGCTTCAGATATTTTTTTTATTAAGAACCACAAAACAAGTAGATCCATATTAAGTGAAATCAATTGATTACATTTTCAAATGCAACTTTCATATTGAATTCACCCTTTTTTCTGCTGCTTTCAAGTCAGAACATTAATTTTGAACTTGTACTTTTCTTTCATTTTTCTGTCTCACCTCTATCCTCTCTCATCTCTGTATTTTGCCATCTGCTCTTTCACTTCATCACTTTCTGTCATCCAGATGAGTTCAAGTCCTTCCTGAAGAGGCTGCCCTCCACTCACTTCCTGCCCATCAGCAGTGTGCATCTCCTGTGGGGCAGTGACTGGGACCTTCAGGCTCGCTACAGGCTCCTTCAGAGTTCCCTGGAGATCCAGCGGCTCAAGATCCAGCGCACTGCCCGCAAGCTCTTTGGCCTCAGCATCCGTTGTCACCACAACCCCAACCACCAGATGCCTAGGGAGAGGTGGGTAGAAATACGACCTCTAGGTCATGATAGGGATTAGATGTGAATTTACTCGGTGATCTAAAGTGCTGTTTTTGGCATTTGATATTTTTGGATATTTTCTTTTCCAAGTGTGAGAATAGCAGCTGTGAACATGTATCCCACAGAGGATATTTCAGGGAAACTTCTTCTCTGAAATGATGTAAAGGTTTTACTTTGATTGTTGCTTCTCGAAGCATGCACAGTAAGGATGCCATCTATTATACATCTCAACTTATGGCTCTGTTGTTTCTGTCCATCAAGCCAACTTAGTGCTGAGGCTTGCACATGCCCAAAGCACTCTTGCTCACTCTTGTATTTCTCATTGCAGTCTGAAAAGTAAATGTAGCTGTGGGAGTTTTCTTGATAGGTCATTGCACACATCTGTCACCACCTACTGCAGTTGCAGCTTAAGAGCCTTGCTGTGAATGTGCCATGGTGTCAGCACTGCCAGGAACTTCCACATCCGCTGCAGCAAATATTAGAAAACACTATGCGAAATATGCAAAGTGTGCCACATGAAACACACACCAATGGTTCTCTGTAGGTGATGGAAATGGGATCTGTGAAATATTTATTCAAGTGGTCTTAAAATGAGCAGATGTCAACAGTCTACAACAGAAAAGGGGCACACCCACATTTGTGTGTAAGGGATTGAAAAGGATTGTTCTGAAGTGTTGCAAAGAGCCGCAGTATATGCCCTTGCTCTTCCATGGAGTGCGCATCGAGAGTGCCTGATGGCACTGGAAATAAGAGCAGCATGTTTATTTGTTTGCTTGTGTGAGGCAGCCTTGCATCAGATGGAGGACTTATTTGTTTTCAACACATCTGTTTGCGTGTCTGTGCACTTTGCCTACATGCTTGAGTGGGTGGTAAGTGGTCTATAGCTTACACACATGTTCTAACCTAGGCTACAGCGCTACATTTTCATATAAGTGACTGCTTGTTATATATGATAAAAGGGTGTTGCTAACGGGGGAGGCACATCAAATACCTTTTAAAGCACTGCTCGGCACGGCACGGCACGGCACTGCACGGCATATATTTTATTTTTTTCAAGATAGGCTTTTTTTACCTTGGTATCTACCCCCCATTGCTCACCCTCATTACAACAACTAGCCAACCTAGAGTAGAAAGCCTTTATTGTCATTGTGCAAAGTATCCAACAAGATTTTTGTAGTCATATTACCTGTCATATTATCGAGGTTGGGGAAAAATAGGACCCAAATGCAGATTGAGGAGGGAAGCGGGTTTCAAAATGAAACAAAAGAAGAGCTTTATTTACAAAAGGGCATCACTAGGGCCAAAAGGGTGGGTGGAGGGGGTCTGGAGGACGGGTTTGGGCTGACAGCCCAGGGGCACGGCAGAGGACCAGGAAGGGGTCTCGGGCGGACGGCCTGGGGGCAAGGCAGAATTCATTGTGGGGGTCTCGGGCGGACAGCCCGGGGGCAAGGCAGAGTTCATAAAGGGGCGAAGGCCACAGCGGGCGAACTCAGCGGGCCGAGCATGAGGGCGAAGGCAGCGGCTGGAAGAGTCAGGGGGCTTGGCCCGAGGGCCGCGGCTGGGAAAGTCAGGGGGCCGGGCTCGAGGGCGAAGACCGCGGCACTCAGGGGGCCGGGCTCGAGGGTGAAGACCGCGGCTGGGGAACTCAGGGGGCCGGGCACAAGGACAAAGGCTGCGGCTGGGGAACTCAGGGGGCCGGGAACAAGAACGGGCAAGAAGGCGGTGACGGGACAACTCCGGAGGACGGGCAGGTAGGCGCTGACGGGACAGCTCCGGAGGCCGGGCAGGACCCGGTGTCGGCCGGACAGGAACCGAAGCCGGTGGGACAGGCGTAGACGGGATCCTAGACATGACATGGGCTGGTGTCAATGGGACCCCGGATTCGACACGGTGAATCATCAGATCCTCCTTCGCACTCTCCAAAAACTTGGAGTTTCAGGCTCTGCACTTTCCCTCCTCACCTCATACCTGAAAGACCGTACTTACAGGGTGACTTGGAGAGGGTCTGAGTCCGACCCTTGTCAATTAACTACGGGGGTCCCTCAGGGCTCTGTTCTTGGTCCCCTCCTCTTCTCCCTGTACACAAACTCGCTCGGATCAGTCATTAGCCCGCATGGTTTTTCTTACCACTGCTACGCTGACGACACCCAATTAATTCTGTCCTTTCCCCGCTCAGAGACCCAGGTCGTTGCACGCATCTCTGCTTGTCTAGCTGACATCTCTCAGTGGATGTCTGCTCACCACCTCAAGCTTGACAAGACTGCTCTTCCTCCCGGGAAAAGATTGTCCCACTCTTGACCTAACAATCAACATCGGCACCTCAGTTGTTTCCCCGACTCAGACTGCAAGGAATCTGGGTGTGACCCTAGATAACAACCTGTCCTTCACTGCAAACATCGCTGCTACAACCCGTTGCTCCAGATACACGCTTTACAACATCAGGAAGATACGTCCCCAGCTGACTCAGAAAGCGACTCAGGTTCTGGTCCAGGCTCTCGTCATCTCACGCCTAGACTACTGCAACTCCCTCCTGGCTGGTCTACCTACATGTGCCATCCGACCTCTGCAGCTCATCCAGAATGCAGCGGCTCGTCTGGTCTTCAACCTTCCTAAATTCTCCCACACCACTCCGCTCCTCCGCTCCCTTCACTGGCTTCCGGTAACTGCTAGAATCCACTTCAAGACACTGGTACTTGCTTACCATGCTGCGAATGGATCTGGCCCTTCCTACATCCAGGACATGGTTAAACCGTACACCCCAGCGCGTGCACTACGCTCTGCATCAGCCAAACGACTCGTTGAGCCCTCGCTGCGAGGGGGACCCAAGTTCCCATCGGCGAAAACACGTGGGTTTGCTGTCCTGGCTCCAAGATGGTGGAATGAGCTCCCCATTGACATCAGGACGGCAGATAGCTTGCACATCTTCCGGCACAAACTGAAAACTCATCTCTTTCGACTCCACTTCGAGCGTTAGAACTATTAACGAAGCACTTTTATACTAATAAAGGACTGGCTTACCTAAAGCCAGTTGAGTAGCACTTGAAATGTTTGGCTCTATGAAACCTGATGTACTTATATGATTCTGTTTTCTTCAAGGTTGTGTCTTCCTGGTCGAATGTACTTATTGTAAGTCGCTTTGGATAAAAGCGTCAGCTAAATGCAATGTAATGTAATGTAATGGCGCAAGGGCTGGTGTCGATTGGACCACCAACGCAACAGGACAAGGAGTAGGCAGGACCCCCGGCGGGACAGGTGTCAGCAGGATCCCCCACGGAAGAGGACAAGGAGTTGGCAGGACCCCCGGCAAGCCAGGTGTCGGTGGGACCCCAACGGCACAGGACATAGGGTTGGCAAGACCCCCGGCAGAAGAGTTGTCGACGGGACCCCCAGCAGCACAGGACATAGGGTTGGCAGGACCCCCGGCAGAAGAGTAGTCGGCGGGACCCCCAATGGGACAGGACATAGGGTTGGCAAGACCCCCGGCAGAAGAGTTGTCGGCGGGACCCCCAGCGGCACAGGACATAGGGTTGGCAGGACCCCCGGCAGAAGAGTAGTGGGCGGGACCTCCAACGGGACAGGACATAGGGTTGGCAGGACCCCCGGCAGAAGAGTAGTCAGCAGGGCCTCCAACGGCACAGGACATAGGGTTGGCAGGACCCCCGGCAGAAGAGTAGTCGGCGGGGCCTCCAACGGCACAGGACATAGGGTTGGCAGGACCCCCGGCAGAAGAGTAGTCGGCGGGACCCCCAACGGGACATGACATGGAGTTGGCAGGACCTCCAGCAGAACCTCCAACGGCACAGGACATAGGGTTGGCAGGACCCCCGGCAGAAGAGTAGTCGGCGGGACCACCAACGGGACAGGACATGGAGTTGGCCGGACCCCCAGCGGAACCTCCAACGGACCAGGATTGGGTAGGGACTTGAGAGGGGACTCGAGAGGTGACTCGAGAGGTGACTTGAAAGGGGAAAGAACACGGGGGGCTGGAGTCGGCCGGAACGCCGACAGGACACGGGGAGCTGGCGTCGGCCGGTACGCCGACAGGACACGGGGAGCTGGCGTCGGCCGAAGAGCCAACAGGAGATGAGGGGCTGGAGTCGGCCGGTACGCCGACAGTACACGGGGAGCTGGCGTCGGCCGGAGAGCGAGTCTGGACCAGGGCTACTGGGGCCGGAACTGAAGCCGGAACCATGGCTGTGTGGGCCGGTACTGGAGCAGGCACCATGGCTGCTGGGCACGGAATTGGGTCTCCTTCTCTTAGGAGCCTTTTGGAGGCTCCGTGGACCTCCAAAAGCCAGACGAGACCCATCAAAAGCGTTCTCGAAAGAAGCTATGTTGGGAACTGTGGCAGGCAGGGGGCTAGCATGCCTGTAATTATGTAACTTTTTTTTTTTTTTTTAGCATATTGTTTATTATATTATAACTCTGATATAATTCTAAACAGGTGAACACAATCCGACAATCAGACACCCCAGGGAAACTAACGACAGGAAGGAAGACAAGACACGGGGAGAACAGAATTGCAAAAATAAAACCATGACAAGACAGACCAAACTAAAACTGTGACATAAAACTAAGATCGTGACACATAGTGCACAGTGAGGAAAACAGACAAACAATGAAAACATGACAGTAGAAGACTAAACAAATGCAGCATGTCAGTAGAAGTTAATGTAGCTCGTGCTGCTGAGCATTAAGGAAACATGCTCCCGACGGACAACTACAATACCCACATGGCTTTGTGTCGTGTCCCAGCCCACACCTTTCTTAACATATGCCACATTTATGTTTCACTGTGTTTTAGATTCTCAGGGGAAAGCCCAGAGTGCACCATGACAGGGTCATTCCTACACTATGTATGTTTTAAATATGTTGGGCTATCATAGGGCTTCCAGCTTTTCCCGAAGATAGAAGGGGGGGGGGGGCAGAGGGCCAAGGTTTAATAGTGAGGGCTAGCTATTAATGCTTGGATTTAATCA